TTTTCCTGTAAAACCTTGAGTATTTTCCTTCTGCGGGTCCTTCCTTCTACAGAAAGGTCATCCCTGATGTCATGGCATGAATCCAAGATAAACTTTTACTGAACCATTGAAATAGAAAACTAGTACCTCTGTGTTAGAGATGTAGAAAGCCTTGAAAAGAACGCGAAGAGAAACAATATAGCAGCAAACCACAGTCAACCTTGTGAAGTAATGAACAAAACAGATCTTAAAGAAAGGATATCACTTTTAGAAAAGTTTCCACTGATCAAAATAATGGGGAGCAGGGCAGGAGGAACAGAGGAAACCACAAATAAAAGACCTAACGAAACAGCACATCAGAAGCCTTCCCAGCAAAATGCATAATGGGGAAATTTGCTCATTATAACCCTCATAGACTGGTGATGATATGTTATATAGACCGGCTGTATGGCGTGGTCTCGATGCCAGCGGAATTCCTAGCCAGCCGTTTGATCCACTTATATTCCCTAAGTAGAGACTTGCACTAGAAGAAATCTTTCAAAATGATAAATGCAGGCAACATTTCAGCTATGGAGAGATTATTTGTTTGTAATATGTTATTGAACAGCTTCTTTGAAAGGCCCAGAACGGCTGTTCCTGCTTACTCAGAGTAGGAACAGTGCCCATGGCAGGCTCTTTCTTGGACTTCAGGAGAGCAGAAGGGGCAAGAGGAGGAGATAGGAATGGAGCGAGTGACTTGAATTCTGGGTTAGGAAGGGTACATTTAGCATTTAAGGAAACCCTTGAGGTACTAGCTAGGAACATGTCCTAAGGAAAGACACTGCCTTGGTTGAAAAGAGCATGTCACTGTTAATGGAATTCTTCTAATTCTTTGTTGCTACTATTCATGACCCCATTTCTTATCTCAGTTTTTAGCGGCTCAGTTCATTAGGAAGCCTGCCCTTCAGCAGTTTTTGACAATTGTGGGCAGATAGTTTAGGCCCTTCTCTGAAGATGAGCTAAGCCCTGTACCACAGCTGATATTTTATTGAGCCTCTAACTCTCAACCTTTGACTAGACATCCACCACCTCTCCATCTCCTAAAACTTGTACCATTTCCAGGAAGAGCAATTAAGGAGCACTCATGGGGCCAGATAGTCACATCTCGTGCTCACAGATAGGGCCTGAACTTCTAACTTTCGTGTAATATAAAGCTAATGGTACCTTTCTTGTCTCGTCTTTTCAGTATTTCTCACCACAAAACTCTTGATACTTTTATAACTCCAGTTTTTCTGAGTTCATCCTTAGCCATCTCTTCATATTCTATATGTACTATGATCAGAAAACAGCAGGTAATGAACTGCATGAAACACACATTTAACTTTCACATTCAGGTATTTGGAGAGAAAAAGAAAGTACAGTTTCAATAAAGTGGCTGATTCCATTTGCTATTCCACTCAGGATAAGAGAGGACATGTTTTGTTCCTCCAGTCAGTCTCATTTCCCATGAGCCTCTCCAACAGGAAGAGCAGCCCGCTGTACTATGTTTTATTCTCTTGCTCAGAGACACAGTTTATACAACATGGCCCTTTGCCACAAGCCAACTACTTCATCTAGTGCACAGTTGAAGTAACCGTGATTCATTCTGGTGCTGGCAGAAAAAAAATGTGTGTGAGAGATTTATTAAGAGATAGTGTGTCAATCTCACATGAGCCCTTCCTACAAGATTTTAAGTAATTTTGACTATGAGATTTCTGCCTCGTAGGTTGCCAGTTAACTACCTTCTGACTTTAATAGCAAATTGCTGTTAATGTTCAGGCTCTGACTGTCTTGTGGTCATTCTTCTACAGTTGTGCACTAATATCCCATACTGAGTTAGAGTCAGTCAGCCTTCCGAATTAATATTTCTATGTGTAGATAAACCTATAGTGAATGCAAAGATTGTCAATATTCCTAAGTAAAAATAACAACACTAATAATTATGTTTATTTAACCCTTAATATAATATCAGACACTGTGCTAAGATGTGCTTTTCATCCATCCTCTTATTTACTCCTCCAAGCCCTTACGAGCTAAGTGCTTTTATGCTGCTGTGAAAGCACAGGAACTGACTTAAAGACAACCAGGGAGAACATACATACCTTCTTACATATTTCCTAAAACACAGGCATCCTCAGGAAAGCAGCAGAGAACCACTGCAGGAGCAGATCAGCAAGCACAAATGAACATACAGGCCCTAGACAGGCTATATTTCCAGAGTTCTCATTTAGGACTGGCTTGTTCAGAAATTGCAATGTATTTTCCTAAGGAAATGATGTTATCACAACAAAAGCATATTTACCCATAATGCGCCTAGGGTAGTAATAACATCGACCGAAACCATTTTGTGTACCGATGTTTTCATGGAAAAATTCACTCAGACTTTCCCCTTGGATGACTATGGATACATTTCTCCACCGCCGGGGAAAGGGGGACCCTGTGCTGGAAACAGTTAGAATTCATTAGAAATGTTGTTCAAAGCCTGATCCAGTGGTGGCTCCCAAGGCCTGTGATGGGAGTTGACAGGGGGAGGAGGAGAGAGGAGGGAGTGGAACTGGGTAGAGGGGACATCGGGTCAGGAGGCCTTGGGTGGGAAACTGGAGAAAGCATATGTATGGGAGAGAAGGGTAGGGTGGGCGTTCCAGAGAGGAGAGGGAGCAGGCCATAGAGTTTGGGGACCCAGGACTCAGGAGGTCTAAACGCCTCAGGTGGTTCCTTGTTCATGGCCTTTGTGTCTTCCGCTGACCCCACAATTTTGCCTACCTGCTTCCCTTTTTATGGCTGACACCCTTTGAAACTCAGGTCAACCCCATGGCTTTTCTTGACTCAGCTGCTCCTAATGCAGGCTTTTCTTGACTCAGCTGCTCCTAATGCAGGAGAACGGCCCTGAGGGTTTTTAACTAAAAGAAAGAGCCCATCCGAGGCCTTCCAGAACGTTTTCTTTTTCACTTGGACCTGGAATAGCAAAGTCCAGCCACGGATGCTTTGGTTGCTTTGTTGCGGGGGGGGGGGGGGGACGACATAAGGAGCTGAAATAAAATGCACAAGCTTTCCAGGTAACAAGGGCGAGGCTTGGAAGGAAGGAAGAAGCCCTCTGCTCCTTTCCCCGCTCTTTGCCTCCACAGCATCCTCAGAATGAAAGTGGACAGGAGGGGCGCAGGCACCGAACCGCAGCTTGGCAGGGTTGGAGGTGGGGAGGCGTGTAAGACAGGATGATCCTTACATCACTGCTGGGGTCTGTTCTCAAGGGGCTGTCTCCATCACTGGCGTGGGGACCCCCTGGGTACCTACCTGAGCCTCTGCCAGACCGTCCAAGTGGTCCTCGTACCACCTTTCTCTTTACCCACTAGCCAATGTTTACCTGACTTCTCTCGTGATAGGAATCACCTGGGCTATAAAAAGCCTACATTCTCAGGCCCTCTCCCAGACCCACTGAATCAGTCTCCAGCCAAAGGGCCTGGAAAGATGTATGAGCGAGGAGTTTGTCAAACATGGCTTGGCTAACCCCCTTACCCTTGCTGGTCTTTAGAGAGTCCTAGGACATCCTAAACGCTGTCCTGCCTCAGGATCGTTGTATGTGCTGTTTCTTCTCTGGGAAAAGCACTCCCTGTTTCCTACTCTTAGCTAATGCCTATTTCTCATAACTTCATGACTGTGGAAATCGGATTTCCTCAGAAAGACCGTCCTTGCCGTCTATTGTAACTCAGGTTCCCTATCTCATTCTTTCAGAACACCCTCCACTTTTTCTCTTTAGCATTTATCATGCAGTTTATATCTTATGTATTTGCTTAATGTCTGCCTCCCTATACTGAGCACAGGAAATACTCAGTAACTATTTTTTTGCATGAAGGAATGAATAAGTGAAAAAATAGTGCTGGGAGAGGGGTGCTAAGGTTGTATTGGATGTTGCTCAACAAACAAAGCACCGAGCATATGAAAATTTAATCTCCCAGGTAAACTCTTTACACAACAACTAAAATCAAGGTAGACAGACCCACAAGTAAGTGGACTTACGGGGGCAATGGGTCAGATTATTTTTAAAAATATTTATTAAATACCTAATGTGTGCAAAATGCAGTATTAAGAGCTCTGGATACAACTGTGAATAAGACTGATACAATCTCTGTCTTTTTGGAGCTTACATTTTAGCAAGGATGACAGATGTTATGCAGCTGGTTATATAATTAATAGTTTCATAATTGTACTTCTGATAAATGCAGTGAAAGAATTATAGAGGTATAAGAGCCTAATACAGGGAGACTGGCACGGTGCGTAGAGCATCAAGCTAGTCATAGAATTCCTAAGCCGTTGCTGGGGAACCTGTGCCCAAAGACTCCAGCATACTCTCCTGTCTCTTGTCAAAGTCGGCATGGGAGGCTCCTCTCTATAACGGCTTCTCAACCTCAGTACCCTGACATCTTGGGCTAAGGAAGTCGTTGTTTGGGGGCCCTTTCCAGTGCACTGTGGGAGATGTTTAGTACTGTTCCTGACCTCTACCCACTAGATGCCAGCAGACCCCACAGTTGTGACAGCCACAAATGTCTCAACACTGCCAAATGTCCTTGGTGGAGGGGTAGCGGGGTGAGTGGGGACGCAAAACCTGTCTGTCCTCCCTCCCTCAACTGAGAACCACTGCTCTACATGAAACTCGGTTTCTAAAAAATGGCCTCTCTTATATTTTATCCAAGTCGTTACCAGGAACTTAATTTATTCATTCAATAAACACGTGTTTATTGAGTGCTTGTTAGTGCCAGTTACTGTTCCTGAAGCACTGGCGAGGCAGCAGGGATCAAAGCCTGTGCTTTCTTGAAGCTACATTCCAGTGGGGATAATAGGTTGCCCATAGAAGTCTCTCTAAGAAGCTGATATTTGCACAAAACCTTGACAAACAAGGGAAGGAGCCGCAGAGCAGGCAATACCCAGAGCAAGAAGCAAGCCATCGGAGGGCCTGTACTTGACCCGGCCTTTCTGCCTGCGCATCTAACAAGCTCCTTGTGTTCCAGAGGGTCCTCCACCGAAGGGCAGCTGAACGGACTCCAGAGCGGCCTTAACCCTGCAGCATTTGTGCCCATCATCAGCTCCTCAGGTTAGTGGTGCAGCAGCTTCCTGGAGGGCGGGGCAGCAGGGAGGGTGCGGGCGTAGCACGTTTTCTCTCCTGCCTCTGAAGAGCGCTCCAGCTCAGAAGGAAGCACCCAGGCTTCTGATGTGGGGGCACATGGGCATCTTTGTTCCATTCTTCTTTAAAATCACACTGATGGTTTAGGATTGAGTGGTTTTCTGGATAGTTTGGGACCAATGAAATGCTCAGTCTGGTAGAATCCTATCAGATTTGCAGCGTTTAGTGAAGAATGCCTGTATTTGGCCTGTGTTTCACCGTTTACGAGTAAGTAGCATTCCCACATGTCACATCTCACTAATCTTCACAGCAGCCCTGGGAGTTGGATCTTGCCCCCACCCGCACGAGGATGCTGAGGCTCAGAAAGTGGGGGGCCTGTGGGAGATTATACGTGGGTGCAGAGCTCTGGCCTTTGATCTGAGTCCCGTCATGCCAGTGTCCTGGCCTATTGCCAGGTAGTCACTGAGGGCCGAACACCTCTCCATGTAGGCGCTGACACATGAGTTAGGCATGTGTAAGTCCAGGGGTTAGTTTTCTGTGCGTAATAATTCATAAAATTACACTAATTAGTAACCAGAAAACTGAAAGAAAATCACTTGGATTCAATTCAACAAGTGTTTGTTATTGATCACCTACTGTGGTGAAAGTGACATGCTGGGCACTGAGACGCCTCCAGGGTGAACGAGACAGGCCCTGCTGTCAGGGACCTGACAGACTGGGCGAGGAGCTGCAGGTGGGTGAGTACCACGTCCTGGGGATGCAAGGCAGAGCCACAGACGACACTGGCTGAGCATCTGCTATGCTTCCGGCACAGGCCTGGTACCGAATATTGTGCACGGAATAACTCATTGGTTCACAAAACACACATGTTATGTAGGAACTGTGTTCCTCATTTTACAGCCCAAGAAATCAAGGCACAGACAGATGATGGAACGTGTCTAAACTCTCACAGCTCGTAAATGATGGGGCTGTTATTTGAACCCAAGCAACCTAGTCCAGGCTCCTTAGGGACTGGGAGGGCTTCCTAGAGGAAGAAGCATCTAAAGCTGAGGTGTGGATATGAACAGGTCATCCAGCAGGAGAGGAGGCGTGGAAAGGAAGGCGTTCTGGGAAGAGGGAGCAAAGTCTGGGGGGTGAAGCCGTGCCGTGTCCTGGAAGCCCTTGTGTGTCAGTGTGGCGAGGCACCAGGGCATGAGCAGGGAGTGACCAGGGAAAAGGCAGGTAGCAGGGCCGGTTTCTGAGCTGTTTGGGGAGCTTGGTCCCGAAAGCAGCAGGGAGCCATCAGGGAGTGTGTTCAGGAGGCAGGTTGGTGGGCTGACATAACACCGTAAAACGGTTACAAGATCTCTGAGAAGCCTGGTTTCTTTGACTGTGTCAAAGGGTAATTATATCTCATAGGCTTACTATGAAGATTAAATGAAGCAATATATAGAGAAAGTTCTAGAACTACAGTCAAGTCAGGTAATAACATGATGAGAGTATAAAGATTTTGTTCCGCACTTCAAATCTTAGGACCTGAATTCAAGAAATATTTGATGGGGTAGCTATTTGCTCCCCGCCCCCTCCCCCCCCCAAAAAAAAAAAAGAATTACTAGGACATGATAGTTATTTTTAAGGAAATAAAATTTCTACCTGGAACTGTTATGGACTGAGAAACGGGTGGATGAGAGAATCATGGTCTGGTTGGGAGGATTTCTGTTAGGTAAAGCTGTTAGAGCCCCTTCAGCTCTTCACATTTGCTGAAGCTGGAGAGGTTGCAAAGCCTAGAAGATCCAGGAAACTGGCCTATTCCATTTGCATGTCTAATTGATAAATACAAGTATTGCATTGAACTCTTTGAGGAAGTTGGAAATTTGAGGGGCTAGGTGGGTCATATTTTCAGCATCTTGATCATGAAATAATATTTACTGACTGTTGAAGCTACTTAGAAGATTTTGTAGCAGTTGTACTGAATTTGGTATCAGCATAAAACCAAAGAGGAAAGAGAAGAAAGTTGTACTTCTCCTGGGATTCTAATACTTACCTTTCTCCCTGCTTCTACTTAGGATAAGCACATTATTCATCTCACCTTGTTTAGGTAGCCTGTGATTTACTGCTTTTTGTCACCAAATGACTCTTGGCCTCTCAAGTCTGTTGAATTTGTTTCTATTCTGTGACTTTTCTGATCCTTAAAAAAACACTGATGTACCTGATATAATAGGTCCAGGCATTTTCCGTACTTTCCAATAAACATTTTACTTTAGCAGTATAGCAGTACAACTAACCCTGTCAGAGTTATTGATACAGCTAGTAAATAGTTACCTGGCACTTCAGTGTTTTAACTACAGATCGTGTGCTTTTCTGTATCCTGCGTAGACTTAAAGCTAGGGGTTCAGAAGGGTGTCCTATAAAAAGGAGGTTAGGATGTTATTAAAAACAATTTTTTTTAACCCCACAAGAAAGGAGAATGACCCCTAGCATAAGTCAAAAAGTTGACACATCTCCCTCCGAGTTGGCAAGATGCCGATACGGGAGTCGTTACACTGACTTTGAAGGATATGTAGCCCCTGTCTGGTCCAGGTAACTCAGGTGGTTAAACATGGTATTATTGAGTCCATGAATATAACAAAAGCCTGTTTCCTGGTCCCTGGACCCTTCCCCAGGTTTGGCCAACCAGGCCATAAAGCTGTGTGACTGCTCTCAGGCAGACTGAGTGAGATAGTGGTTCACCTCAGAGCACTGTTGGAAAAAACTCGGAGTCCTTTTGCACTGGTGGTCACGTAGTGATATTATTTCTTTATGAACATAAATGAGGTAGGGAATGTGAACGCTCCTAGCAGAGTGCCTGAAATGCTCCATGAACGGTACTTTCCCTTGACTTCTTCCGTCAGGCTGCATATTCTGAATTCGCTATGGAAGGGGAAGGTGTAGAGTCAGCAAATTCGGAAACTTGAGAAGGAAGCTGGAGTGCGGGCCTTTGGTTCAAAGCCAAAGCCGTTGGCCTTCCTTCTGTATAACCAAGGCGTTCTTAAGTTGTGAAGTGGTGATGGTGGAACTAAAATAGCAGAGAGCAACAGATTAGATAACTGACATTTCTCTCATGCTGACCTGATCGTGTAATCTACCATTATTGTAGGGTCTGAAGTCACACCAGCTGCCCCCACCGTGGCCCCCGAAACTCTGCCTACGCCTCTCCCATCTTGGAACCCAGTCTCTACCCACCAACACCCCCATGCATTATCCCCTCCACCTTTTTTTTTTTAGCTCTTAGTGGTCTGTTGTTGGTGGAAGAGACCTTACCACCTTTTTAAAACCAATGATGGGGTTCATTTACAAGAAGCTAGAGAGAAGCAATGTCCTTGTTCCGTGTTTGTTATTTCAGGCCCTGGTAAAATGCACTTTGCGTGGGGATGTGGCAGCAGCATGTCAGTGTGAGAAACAAGAGAAAGGAACTTATTTTAATTTAAAGTAAACGCGGCGGAGCTTAAACCCTAAGGATCTAGCTATCACGTTAACTTCCAAGTGAAATTATTTGCCTGGCAGCTCTCAGCAGAATGACCTATTTTCACCATCGTAGTCCTATTTTTTTTTTTTAGCCGTGCATTCTGTAGTTGGGTGGATCTCTGGAGTGTGACAGATTAAAAGTAAAAATAAATAAAGTTCTCGAGATGCTTGCCCTAGTGTCTTGTACTCTTTATTGCTCCCCAAAAGTTCTTCTTTTCCAAGCGCCAGAGGGATAAGAGTTTGGGTTGGTTACCCACTCTTGTGCTGTTAGAAAGCCAGAGAGAGCACATGGATTTGGTGTTTGTCAGGAAGTGAGGCGGTGGCCTCTGGGAGAACAGTGATGCCCCTAAAACCTAGTTTTAGATTTCATTTGTCCTTTCAGCCAAGATCAAATAAAGTGTTAAGTAGGGATTTTTTTTTACATTTTTCAGGATCTTTGGAAGCTCCCCAAGTTATTTTCGCCAGATCCAAACCCTTGCCCACACTACGTGGAGCCCCTGCTACAGTTGTAGGACAGAGAAAATCAAAGTCGGTGAAGGCAGGGCCAATTTAAGGTAACAGTAAGAATAAGACCATAGTTTTATTTTATTATGACTTGCTGACTTTATGCCACAGCAAGAGACTCAGTAGCTATCAAGAGAAGTGATATTTTTTCAAAATGACAAGGAAATTGGGATTTTATAAAACCAAAGCTCAGATGGACTCTCTAAAACTGTTGAGTCCAAATTAAGCTCCAGCTGTCTTGCTTCTGTAAGAGCTTTACCAGTAGGTGGCGTTGTGGCAGTAATAAATTTCCTTACTATTCTAGAGGCTTTTGTTTAATATGGGGACATCAAGACCAATCAAAGAAGGACACTAAAGCATAATTGAGTTATCACAGGTAAAGTGTAACGAATCAACTGGAAAGCATAACATTGGAGGGTCAAACTGCAGTAACTTCTAAAGAGAATGAATATTTTGTAGTAAAGACAACTTGTAGACTAGAGTTGGGTCATTCGTAAACTGGACTTTTGGATAATGGGAGACAGAAAGAGAACAAATCTTTTGTTGTTTTTGTTGTTGAGGTTGATTAATTACACTTTCTTTTTTGAGTTATTTAAGATAAACATATGCCATAATTGGGAGCAAAACAGACTATAAACCCCATACCACCACCCACCCAAAAAAGCTTCTACATTTTAAGATTGGCCTGACTTGATCTTGCGAGGCTCTATCCACGCTTCACTGCCGTTGCCCTCAGTATTTTGTTCCCAGCTGTGGCCTTCAAAACGTTCCAGAAAATTCTGACACCGTAAGGTTTTGATGACTTTTTCCCTCTTTGCCCTGCCCTATACACTAAAGCATTAATGGCACAGCTGCTGTGAGCTTAATGCTCTTCTTACCTCTAGGGCAATATTTATAAACTTATTTGAGAAGCATTATTCATCAGAATACCCCAGGAGAGCAAAGGAGGGAGGAAAATTATTTACCCACCACAGGATTCATTT